GTACCTTCTTATCAACCAATTCCAACTTATCAAAAAGTACCACATCAAACTCTTTCAATTTCTACTACCAGTCAACCAAATTGTACTATTAAAGTACTACAAAGTACAAATTCACAACAGCAACCACATCAACACATTTACCAACTTTCTTCACCATCTACTTCTACTTATCAACAGACATCGCAACCACAACATCTGAATATCACTGATATACTTGCTCAATATATCACAACACAAATTCCAACATCATCGACTTCCGGTTTGTCTACCAAATAGTTTGACGTGGATTGAACTCTCTATTTAATATCGCCTCTAATTATATTTATCCATAATATATGCACTGTTTTTATGTTATTATTTATGCTTGATATATTGATTTTATTGATAATGCACGTTTTGAGTGTGTGTGAGTGTGTGTGTGTGTGTACCAATTTTCTTTTAGCACTCTTATAACATGAGAAAAAAACCTATACCCATACATAGAAATCTTTGATTTTTAAATTGTGCGTTTGGGGTTTATTAGTGTCTTTTTTTTGAGGAATAGCATGATTCTTTCTCACACTAGTCTAATTCATTTTTAACTAATTGTATTTTTTTGTTTTATTTATTTAAGGTTTAAATCTTCTTGCGGCCACTTCAAATGTTACAGATTCAAGACAAATGCCTTCACGTACATCTTCATCCGTTGTCAATAATCATTCACAAGTCGCTTCAGATTCATCATCGTCCAGTATTTCCAACACAAATACCACATCTTTACTTCAATCATCATCATCTGCCACAAATTCACATCCGTTGTATCAACGTTCTTATTGTCGGTGGCCTAGTTGTGATACCATTTGTGTTTCTCTCATCGATTTCACAAGGTAAATGAGAATATAAATGAATATTTCGTTTAATTTATATTTATGGTTTTTATTTTAGACATTTAAATGAAGAACATTCATTAGATGATAGATCAGTAGCTCAAGCGAGAGTTCAACAACATGTGGTGCAACAATTAGAAGCATTAGTAAGTGTTTCAATATTAATTAACGTTCCTGAAATGAATGAGAATATGTCGGATTGTAATTATTTGTCAGTCGGAGATTAATGAGTAGTGTGTTAAGATTTACTTATGGTTAGAAAAGACGCTCTTATGATAAGATAAAATCTATTTTATGTGTTTTCATATTGTGAACGTTGATAAGAGTAACTTTTATCCTCTATACAAGCAG